AGGAGAAGGTGACTTTGAGGGTGTTAATGCCATGGGACCCGCTGCCTTAAACAACAACATTACAGGAATTGCAAGGAGTTCTTTGCTAACCTAGAGGAATATATATTTGATTTTATTACATAAATAAAATATTAATTTGTTTGGTAGTTTAATATTTTTGTGAGCAAATTGAGTCAAGAAGTTACCAAAGTAACATCTCTTGAATTGGGTAGTTCGTGAAAAATATTAAATGTTAGTGTTTGTGTATATTCATGCGAGTATTAGTCGGCCCAAAGGAAGATTAATATTTGGCCGAATTTCATATACACTTGTAATGATAAACATGTGATAATTATAAAGATTTACTTTGTCGATGATAAATCAATCCAAAGACTGGTTTGTTGTTGGACGTGTTTTATTGTCAATGTTTGATTATTACAACAAGATACCTCTAGCAGTTAATATTACTCGTCCAAAGACTTGATATTGATGGTGCATTGGGTGTCTTGAGATGGGTTAAACTATTATTTGAATATATATTTTATTTATAATTATTTATTTTTTATAATGTGAGCATAATTAATTTATTTCTCTTGTTTTTAATTTAGCTACAATTGTTTCGTATATCGCCAATTTAAATTATGTTCCGATCCTCAAAAGTATGTTTCCTACTTTGGTTTGTTCGAAGTCAATTTAGCATCAGTACCTAGTAACACTTGGTGGTTAGACTCAGGTGCAACTACTAACATCAGTGTTTCTATAAAGGGTTGTCTAAGCTACCGGAAGTCAATTGATTCTGAAAGATGGATATATGTTGGAGATGGAAAATCGGTAGAGGTGGAAGCTATAGGGCATTTTAATTTGTTATTGAGTACTGGTTTTTATTTCGATTTGAAAGACACTTTTGTTGTGCTGTCATTTAGACGAAATTTGGTTTCAGTTTCTTATCTGGACAAATTAGGTTATTTGTGTTCATTTGGAAACAATAAGTTCAGTTTGTCTTTTAATTCAGATATTGTTGGAACTGGTTCACTTTTGCCTTATGATAATCTGTATTTACTTGATACTGTGACCACCTATAATGAAACCCTTAATACAGAATCACGGGGTACTAAACGTAAAATTGATGATACTCACTCAGGAGCATTATGACACAGGCGCTTAGGTCACATCTCTAAAAATAGAGTTGAACGACTTGTGTTAAATGGAATCTTAGAGTCCATTGACTTCACAAACTTTGATGTTTGTGTTGAATGCATTAAGGGCAAACAGACCAAAGCGAAGAGATTAGGTGCATATAGAGCTACAGACGTCTTAGAGTTGATACACACGGACATTTGTGGGTCATTTCCTACACCTTCGTGGAATGGTCAATAATACTTTATATCATTCATAGACGACTACTCACGATATGCATACTTATTCCTTATACATGAAAAGTCACAATCTCTAGACGTGTTCAAAACATTTAAAGTTGAAGTTGAAAATCAACTCAAATAAAAGAATTAAGTCTGTCAGATCTGATCGTGGTGGTGAGTACTATGACAGATTTGACGGGTTAGGTGAACAGCGTCCAAGACCTTTTGCCAGGTACCTAGAGGAGTGTGGAATTGTCCCATAGTATACCATACCGGGATCACCTAGCATGAATGGTGTAGCTGAAAGACGAAATCGAACTCTTAAAGATAAAGTCAGGAGTATGATTTGTCATTCCACCTTACCAGAGTCACTCTGGGGAGAGGCACTAAAGACGGCAGCTTATATTTTGAACAGAGTACCAACTAAAGCAGCGACCAAAACACCTTATGAGCTTTGGACTGGGCGACAACCTAGTTTGAAGCATTTCCATGTGTGGGGTTGTCCAGCTGAGGCAAGGCCTTATAAGCCAAATGAAAAGAAATTGGACTCCCGAACAGTAAGTAGTTATTTTATTGGTTATGCTGAAAGATCCAGGGGATATAAATTTTATGATCCCACAATAAAGACAATTTTTGAGACGGGAACTGCTACGTTCTTTGAGGATATTGAGTTTGGGGGGAAGAATAAAATCAGGAACTTTGTCTTGGAGGAAGAATCGGTAACAATTCCAGAACCGATTCAAACAGTTACTTTTGATAAAGTAAGTTCGGAACCTCCACAGGGCATTGTTAATGAACCCCTTACTCAAGATGATTTGGTTGTTCATGAAGAACAAACTCAAGATCCTCAAGAACCTGTGCATCATGAGCCAATAACTTTGCGGAGATCCACTAGAGAAAGAAGAAGTGCTATTTCGGATGATTACATGGTATTTCTTCAGGAACATGAGGAAAACAATGGTATGATGGAAGATGACCCAGTTAACTTCCGTCAAGTCATGCAAGGTTCTAACTCTGAAAAGTGGATTGAAGCAATGAAGGAGGAGTATAAGTCCATGCAAGACAACAAGGTTTGGGAACTTGTCCCATTACCAGAAGGTATGAGACCCATTGGTTGCAAGTGGATATTTAAGACCAAACGGGATTCTAAAGGTAATGTGGAAAGGTATAAGGCTCGTCTGGTAGCTAAGGGCTATACCCAAAAGGAAGGGATTGACTTTAAAGAGACTTTCTCTCCAATTTCATCGAAAGACTCTTTTAGGACAATCATGGCTCTTGTAGCACATTATGATTTGGAGCTTCATCAAATGGATGTCAAGACGGCGTTTCTTAATGGCAACATTGATGAGACGATTTATATGGTGCAACCAGAAAATTTTGTGCAGGGAGATTCAAAGAGTATGGTTTGCAAACTGACAAAATCCGTTTATAGACTAAAACAAGCATCTCGTCAATGGTACTATAAATTTTATCAAGTAATTCTCTCATTTGGCTTCGAGATGAATATTGTTGATGATTGTGTATATCACAAGTTTAAGGGGAGTAAGTATATTTTCCTGATTTTGTATGTTGATGACATTCTACTTGCCACTAATGATATAGGCATATTGCACGAAACCAAGAAATTTTTATCAAAGAATTTCGAAATGAAAGATCTTGGTGATGCGTCTTTTGTATTAGGAATTCAGATATACCGAGATCGATGTCGGGGTATTTTAGGATTATCACAAAGGAGCTATATCGAAATTTTTTTTAAAAGGTTTGGCATGCATGAATGTAAATCCGGGGATACTCCAGTTGCTAAGGGAGACAAGTTTAGTCTCAATCAGTGCCCAAAGGGAAATTTGGAAATTGAGGAAATGCAAAAGATTCCCTATGCATCAGCTGTAGGGAGTTTGATGTATGCCCAAGTATGTACGCGTCCAGACATAGCATACATAGTTGAGGTTCTAGGCAGATATTTAAGCAATTCAGGAATAGACCATTGGAAAGCAGCAAAAAGGGTCATAAGATATTTAAAGAGAACAAAAGATTATATGCTCACATACAGGAGGTCAGACCAGTTGGAGATCGCTGGGTTTTCTGACTCAAATTTTGCAGGATGTCAATAATTTGTAGCATGCTATGAGGCATCAAATCATGGAATATGGCTGAGAAATTTTGTCATAGGGCTGCAAATTGTGAAAGGCATTGAAAGACCACTTAAGTTATATTGTGACAATAAATCAGCTGTATTGTCAAGGAAAGAGTACAAAGTGGACAGATTTCCATAGAACACTTAAGGACAAACTCCATGATAGCATATCATCTAACTAAAGGACTTCCGCCCAAGGTCTTTCATGAGCATGTTGCTCACATGGGTGTTTTACAGTTTGAGGAATTTGTGGTTTAGTGGGAGTTAGTCATTTTCATATATTTTATGTTCTATGTTTAATTTAATATATGTATACATTGTTTTTGGACATATTTGGTTATCTATAGATATGCGGTTTTTTTTTTCATTCATCACACTTTGTACATTAAGGTTACTATATTGATCTTGATAAGTTAAAGTTTGGACCAGTTGAAAATAGACGTGTATAGATCACATTCACGTAATGTTTCATGCTACACATTTCATGATGAATCCATGTCATTTGGTTATGTCACGATGAGTAATCATTGTTGGTTTTAGTTGCGATGATGCAATGAAAAGCTGGTTTGGTTCTATATCCTGATATGATTAATGGACAGGACTTTTGGAATATGCTAAAGGAATATAATGACAATTTTGAGCTCATAAAGTCTAACACATTTGTAAGGTTGTAAAGACATATATATTTGTGACCAGTGGGAGATTGTTGGCAAATTTTGGGTCATGTATATATATGATACATATTTAAATGTGTTAGGGTCATTATTTATTAAGCCAAATAATAAAGTGATCTGAATAAATTAAAGTTTTGGCTAAAGACATATGTCATGAAAATATGATTGTGTAGAGACCATAGATTAATTTCTAATTTGATGAGGGGTCAAATTGAAAATACTAAAACTTAAGTAATTAACCTAATTTTGGTTATTTAAAGGGTCATGGTCCCCTTCTGAGAGCACGTAGACAAAACGTAGTTACAGTCCCGTTCTTTTCTTTTTGTCCCCATCAAGAAAAAAAAAATCAAGAGGGAAATACAGGTGCTCTTCAGGTGGAAGATCATAAGATCAATAGTGCTCTAAAAGGGACATCATCATTATGGCTAATTCAGGTATGCTTTCGCATTTAGTTTATAACATGTTTACAGTATGGGATTACTTTATATTTGATCGTTAGATTAAAGATCATATTTAATTATTAGTTTACCTAACAGATCATTATAAGTTGAGCTTATTACTTTAAGTTATTTTAGGGTTTAATTAGTGTCTTTTATTGGTTGTGTTTGTTTGTCTATGTCATAATACCTCGTGCCTTAGACAGGAACAGTTCTAGGTGAATATTTTATGTATTGTGAATGTTACACTTTAATCATTTATGATGATCTCTCTAAGCAAGCAGAGACTTATCGTCAAATATATCTTCTATTACGAAGACTACCAGGTCACGAAGCTTATCCAGAGGATGTTTTTTATTTACATTTGCATCTTTTGGAAAGAACCACTAAATTAAGTTTTCAGTTAGGCGAAATAAGTATGACCGCTTTACCAATAGTTGAAACTCAATCAGGAGATGTTTCAACTTATATTCCTACTAATGTAATTTCCATTACAAATGGTCAAATATTCTTATCTGTCGATCTACTCAATGCTAGAATAAGACTTGCTATTAATGTCAATATTTCAGTTTCTAGAGTTGGATCAGCGGCTCAAATTAAAGCCATGAAACAAGTAGCTGGTAAATTAAAATTGGAATTAGCACAATTCGCAGAATTAGAAGCTTTTGCACAATTCGCTTCTGATCTAGATAAAGCTACTCAAAATCAATTAGCAAGAGGTCAACGATTGCGCGAGTTGCTTAAACAATCCCAATCAGCTCCTCTTACTGTGGAAGAACAGATAGTAACTATTTATACCGGAACGAATGGTTATCTTGATTCATTAGAAATTGGACAGGTAAGGAAATTTCTTGTTGAGTTACGTGCTTACTTAAAGACGAATAAACCTCAATTCAAAGAAATCATATATTTTACCAAAACATTCACTGGGGAAGCAGAAGCCCTTTCAAAGGATGTTATTAAGGAATAGAATGAACTTTTTTTACTCCAAGAACAAATAGAAATAAATTGATTCACCATTAAATAATTTTGTAATTTCATTTTCCAATTTTTATAAATAGTATCTTTTAAAATCTTTTTATTTCATTTGAATTATTATATAATGAATTTGAATAAAAATGGAATGAATAAATAAAAAGATAAGGTATAAATTGCATGTAGATATGCAATCAACTTGTGTTCAATAGTATTTGAACCTATACCTAGGAGGTTTAGAAGACCTCCATCCTATCCATTAGATAATGGATGCTTTTATATTTCTATTTGATTCTTTAACCTTTTTAACTAAACTTTATTAACTAAAAAGATTAAAGAATCAAATAAATATATATATATATATATATATAGAAAAATTCAAATATTTAGAATAAAATAATAAAAAAGAAAAATCAATTAAATATATATATATATATATATATATATAACTAAAACTTAATTTAGAAATGAAAATGAATAATTGATAAATTCATTAATAATTATACTAGAAGAAAAAAGATAGATTTAAATAGAGAATATAAGAGGGTAGTGACATTGTTAAGGTGAAACTTTTGTTTCATTAAGCTCTTTTATGGAAAAAATGAAGAGATGTAAAAAAAAAAAAATTGACCCATAACATATACATCGAGTCTTTTTGTTTTGTATGTTTAAAATCTCTTGTTTTAAGATGATTCCTCTAGAAGATCAGTATTCTAATAATCTATGTTTTTTCCAAGTTACTTCGTTTTCTATTTCTATCTCATAAAATCTTTAAGAAAATAATAAAATTTTCGTCGAGCTAAAAAAACGTCGATATTTTTAGTAAATTAAAAAAATCGTTTAATAGCTATTTTGCTTTAATCTTTATTATATAAATGGAAGATTTAGTTTCGATTAGAAATAAACTTTGTATATTTCTCTTCATAGATTTTTTAGTAATACTCAAAAAATTCATATTATAGATCCAATTCCAAAAACTTATGTTTCCTAATTTTAGAATTCAATTTGTCAAATTAGATTGGATTCTATTTTGTTTACTACTAGGTGTTCTTTCGTTACCTTTTTTAGGGTGACTGCTAGTTAACTTGTATTTGTGAGTTTCACTGAGTTACCTTCTATGTCTGTCATTAGTGACATTATTGTTTATGCTCATTTTTTAATAATTTGGATTAGTTTTGAATTGTTATAAAAGCTATGGTATTATATTTTGGTTGAATTGAGTTAGATTTTCTTAAACTTTGATTGCATTGGATACAGTATTATCCATGTTTGTATATGAAATAGAGATGTTAGGTAGGTTGTATATGATTGTGGAAAGATAGACCAATATTATCGATGAATATATTTATTGATAATTACTTATTGATATATCTGTTATAATATAAAAATATAGTCTAATAATAATATCTAAAGAGATAGTTTGTATCACCTAATTGAATTAAAATAAAATATTGACATTCATAAGAATTATTATTCTTAGAAATGAAGATGATAAAGACAACTCACACTAATAATATAAAAGTTGAGAAGAAATAAAATAGCAAATTGCACAAGAAAAACTTATTTTACAATAAATAACATTTAAATGTATTAATCTATATAATTAAAGTAAAATAGAGAGAAAAATAAAAGTAATTAAAAAATGATTACTATATTTTAAAATATTTGATTACAACATTTAAATTTGATTACTCATATTTAATATATTTTGAACTCAAATCATTTTAAACAAATAATGTAATAATATTAAAGTATTAATATTATTGTATTTTATTTTTTCGTCATTTATAATTGTTATTGAAACTTACGATGATCATGACAAAATTGTTTATTATTTTTCTTTTTTATATAAAAAACTTTTTGTTATTAATAAACCTATTATATAATTATTATATTATAAAATATTATTTTATTAAATTCGATTGAACTTAAATTTAATATCAGTTGAAATATTAAATCTTAAACTCATATTTTCACTCGTTCCAAATTAAAATATTGATGATCAGTTATTCTATATGATTGAGCAAAATATTAATACCAGTAATATTCATATTACCATAATTATAATCACTATCCTTATAAACAAAAATATTTTTCTACTTCATTCTTGAATGATCCCATATATACTTCAACAAAGTGTTTTGGTGTATAATAAGTAAAAGACAAATAGTATATATTTATTTGTTACTCTCGTTTCATCTTATGAACGCCTTGTTATTTTACTCATCATATTCAAGTAATACAAAAATTATATAATTATGATTATCATATAAAGTTAGAATATTAAATTAACAATAGTCAAATTACTTCTGCTAAAAAGATAAAATAAATAATATTAAAAAATAGAGAAATAGTTCTTAACATAATATGTTAAAATCTTTTAGAAGGTTATGAAATAAGACTCTCATATAGGTATATAGTACTATAAAGTAAGATCTCAAGAAATATAAAAGGAAGAAATAAGGAATATATATACATTACGGAATAAAGTTTCTTATTTATAGATATAAAATATAATAAAAATACAACTTAAATATTAAATTACATAAATAATAACATTAAAGTCTAATAAAATTTATGAAAATAAATGAATAGTCACTAATAATAATTAATAATATTATTAAATTAATAATAATAATTTGTGAAAAAAAACCTTGCGAAAGAATAAATTAAAAAAATAACAATAATAAAATTAACATGAACTAATAAAAAGAATAGTTAAAAAAATTTAACATATCAACAAATAGGATTATATTAATTAATACCATATTATAAATTTTTGTTAAATAATTTAACCCGATGAAAGAAAATATATTAACCCATTAAAAAAATAAACTAAAATGATATTATATAATAGTAAAAAATTGAAAAAAAGAGATGAGAATATAAATTTCAATTAGAAAGTAAATTAACAATATGTTAATTTTTAAAAGCAAGAACCTTCATACCAACAACATTATTATACTCATATTTTAAATTCCACCAAATTATACTTATATTTTAAATACAACTTTATTTAATATCAATTAATATTAAATTAAAATCTAATATAATATCATAAATCAATATATTATAATCATTAACAAATAATTGTTTATTTATATAATAAATATTCATTTAATTATAATAATATATAATTATTTTTTATGACATTCACGACATTTTTACCATTTTTATTACATATTAAACATCTTCTAAAAAATTCAATATTACATTTAAAACTTAAAAAAATCAATATGTTACACATGATTAGTAGCATTCGTTTTAGTGTTTTTTTTTTTCATAATTTTAGATCATACTAATTAATAATTTTTTTCATTGTTTCTTCGTCATTTATACTTTAGTCTACCACACATGACTTAAATTATTAAAAATATCTCTAATAGGAGTAACTTACATTAGTTTTGTCTTATTTTAAAAGATGTAAAACAAGAATTTACGATGTCACATCATGTTTAACTAACTCATTATTGATTTTACTCCATTAAAAGTTTTTTTAATAAATTTTAAAAAGTCATTATCTCTCTTTTCTCTGTTCTCATTTATTTTGATTCACTACTAGAAAAATGGTTAATAGTGACCGAAATTAGTAACCGAAAAATTCAGTCATCGATAGTAACTCGAATCGATGGATCGATTTTCGTTTTATATTTAGTGACCGATTTAGTGACTAAAATTTCGAGTCACGGAAATCGGTCATCGATTCGGTCACCAAATCAGTCACTGATTCGGTCACTACTAGAAAAATGGTTAATAGTGATCAAAATTAGTGACCGAAAAATTCAGTTACTAATAATAACTGAATTCGTGATCGATTTCTCTTTTTATATATAGTGATCTGATTTAGTGACTAAAGTTTCGAGTCACTAAACAAATACTATATAAATTAGTGACCATTTTTTATTTATATAAATAATTTTTAAAAAAATTTAAATAATATATTAAATATAAATCTACTTAATAATTTAAAATAATTGATAAAATTTTTAATAACATTATAAAAAATTTAAAAAATAGTTTATTAACTTATTAAATAATTTAGTAATATAATTATTTTATTTTATTTTTTAATTTAGTATGTGTGACGTATGCCTTATTTTAATATTATATTAATATTACTGTGCAAGAAAACTTCGTAACGAAATTTTGCTCATGCACAGTAAAATTTTTCTTATATATGAATACAGAAGCGGGGGAGGAGGAGAATCAAAATTTTCCTCTCATCTTTCTTCTTCTATTGTCTAAATTTCAAGCAACGAGACTCTACTCGTGCAGGATCTGGTGAAACGGGAGAGAACTTGAATTAAGTGGGAAAGCTTCGGTAGAAATACCATACCAGGTAAGGGGAAGTTTAATTCATTCAATATATGAAATTGAATTGTTGGGTACTCTGTGAATAAGGAATAGGAGTAGAGATATGAATTATTGGAATGTCTTGAAGAATGTCTGTTGCAGAATTTCTGATTTTGATGAACTGTTCATCATTTAAAAGTTTTAGAAATTCTTGAAATTAAGGATGAATTATATAATAAAAGTGTTGTTTTTAACTTAAATTGAACATGTTTATGGTTTAATTTTGATTTGGAACTAAATTGGGTGATTGGAACTGAGAAATTTGAAATCTGGAATTCGAAAATGGCGAACGGGAAAACCTGCAAAATTCGCTCAAGCGAAAATACGTCGCTTGAGCGAGGACACCTGGAAAATTTGGGATTCTCGGGTTCTTTCTCGCTCAAGCGACCGGTGTACTCGCTTGAGCGACGACAGGTTCAAACAAATGTGACCCTCGGGTCATGTCTCGCTCAAGCGACCTGTGTACTCGCTTGAGCGACGAAAGCTTCAAACACAGGGGACTCTCGGGTCATATCTCGCTCAAGCGACGGGTGTACTCGCTTGAGCGACGAAGCCTCAAACAAAGGGGACTCTCGGGTCATGTTTCGCTCAAGCGACCTGTGTACTCGCTTGAGCGACGAAGCCTTCAAACAAAGGGGACTC